GAAGCCTAACCCGGACTCCGTTGCGCCGGGAGCATACGCAAGCGATTCGATGATTATTGGGCCAAAGTTCTTTGAGGTGATCAATCGCTTCCCTAGTAATACACCCGTCACCTTTGGATTGAACCTGGCCTACTCGGAATCCGACTACATTGAGCAAATCACCACTATGGCCACACAAGCCGTCAATCGGTTGGTCGACGTCAACCTAGTGTCGTTTGAGATCGGAAATGAGCCTGATCTGTACCTGGAAAATGGTTTCCGCACAGGTTCCTGGGGCGGCCAGGTCTACACACAAGAATGGTTGGACCGTGCAGATGCTATCTGGGAACAAGTTCTTCGACCGAACAGCCTTCCCAGCAATTTCTTTGAGCCAGGAGCCACGGCATCAACCATTGGAACATCTTTCCAGGTCCAGGACTTGGACGAGTTTGGCATCACTGTCAAGGCCAATGGATCGTCACATCCGTATATTGCCAGCTGGAATCAGCATGATTACTACTATTACATTGGGGTATCAACTTATCCACTGACAGCCTACGATTTTATGACCCTTTCCACGACCAATGACCAATTCGCTGCGTGGGTGACACAAATACAGCAAGCGCAAGCCACGGGTTATCCATATGCTTTGCGAGAGATGGGCGTTGTTGGTCCGATCGGTTTAAATGACATTACAGACGTCTTTGGAGCCGCGCTGTGGTCCCTCAATTTCTTCCTCTATGCAGCTACCCTCAATATCTCGTCGGTGCAGATGCATATGACCGACAATAGCAACGCTAGTGCGTGGCAGCCAATCCCGTACTATGGTAGTCAACCATTTGTGCGACCAAACTATTATGCGTTCGCTGCATTTGCCCAAACCATTGGACCAACTTGTCAGGCTCAAATTGGAGGGTATATCATTCAGAATCCTCCCGCTTCGTACGGCGGCCGCATCGCAGCCTACTCGGTCTATCAAGCCGGTACCTTGGCCTCGATCGTCTTGATCAATTCGAATCCTGCCAATGTCTCGGAGGCAAATAAACCCAGTCTCACTTGGGACTTGTCCCTGCCAGAGAAGTTTGCGGGAGAGGAGCTGTACCTAGCGTACCTCACCAACGATGGAGCAGATGCGAAACATGGTACAACCTGGAACGGCATCAGCTACGAGAACAGCGGCGATGGTTTACCTACCAGGGTAAATGACACCACGGAAAGAATCAAAATTGGCAATGATGGGAGCGTCAGCATCGTGGTTCGGGATTCTCAAGCCGTTATTGCAAATATTGGATCTCCGATCGGCCAGCAGAAGCCCAATCCTAGCGCATGCTCTAAACTCGCAGCGAGTACCCCGGATGCTCGCCCTGTCACTACCCCCGTCGGCACAAGTGCGCCAGATGCAACATCTTCTTCGGATAGCTCCTCGTCAACCCAGTCGGATACTTCGACACAGTCGAATACAGCATCGAAAACAGGCAGCACTGCACGTGCAAGCACCACGAACGGAGTTGCGGGCCTTTCTACAATGATGCTGGCAACAATTGCTTCGGCATTTTTGAGTGGAGTCTATCTTGTTTGCCTATAAATGTGAAAGTGGAATTCCAGTATATATGAGGACGTATCAGCATGTTATCGATATAGACGGCGTTCATGAGACTCCGCTGTCGAAAGATTTATGATGAAAGATATTTGCACCAGTCAGGAGTCACAATGGGTAACGATTCCCGATGGTATTCACTTGACTGTGGATGGATAATTCAGGTTGTTTTGGGGTGCAAGCGAGGCGGTTACAGCTATGTGGATGAGACTAGAATATCTGTTTGATAAATCTAATCCGTAATTCTGATGAGGCCAAGATGCCACGAACTACTATGATGAGAAACTTGGAGCATACTGGCTGGCTCGGCTGGGCAGTCATTGCTAGTGAGGATGGATGCTTGATACTTGGACAACCTGGGCAGGAAGACGAGCACATGTGGATGCCATGATGACTTTGTATTGGAGAGTAGCAGCTCTTTGATGAGCTTGGCTAGCACTTGTCAATGGCATTGGCAATGGCAATAATGGCACTATTAATTATTATGGCACTGCTGGCTGGGCCGACTTCGGCAATCATCATTACTGGAATCTCAGCTCCATTTCCCATCATCCAGCATCTTCTTCCCCAGCCTACTCGGTACAATCTAACATTACACGCGTATATACTTGGCAATCATGGCTCATCTAGACCCATTTGGATGAGCTTGTTGGCATTTGCCAGCCCTCTCTTTATCTCTTCTCCCTCCCAAGACCACCGCCCTCTGCCGCCATGGAGGTCCCGAGCCCCCGCCGACCTCACTACCAGATCGGGGCCTTGTCCAACTTCATTCCACTCAATGAAGATCACAGTGCCATGTCTACGCGCGGACAACGCCTGCCCAGTCTGATCCAGAACCGGTCAACTACCTCTCTGCTCACCCTCCAGCGCCGACAGGCGACACGAAGGGACTCGGTCGCGAGCCACAGGTCGGATGAGGACGAGGAGCGCGGACCTTCTGAAAGCTTCGATGCTATGGCTACCACGGCCAGGTGGCGGCCCAGCACGCCCTCGGAGACAGACCCGCGAAGAATGAGCATGGGGCCCGAGATCCTCATGACGCCGCAGGTGCGCAGCATGCGACTGATCGGGCAGAGCAACCCCAGATACCACTGGCACCAGTATTTCAAGACGGAGGAGGAGTTGAAGAAGATGAAGAAACCCATCCGCAAATACTACGAGCGGAACAACTTCTTGGTCACCCAGTACCTTTACATTGACAAGTTGCTGGATTCGTCGCTCCCCCACCATCTCATTCAAGAGTATAGCCATCCGCGGTCGAATGGCACCATGAATACCATCTGCGAAGAACCGCCTACTGGAAACATGACTCCTGTGACCGCGGTGAACGCCACCAGCTCACCCATCGAGACCAAGTTGAAACGGACCCCAAAAAACTTGTACAAGCTTCCCAGCGAAGAGACACCCCTGTTGCTCGACGACCCTGAGGCGAACGCCGAGGCGGGCCTCCCGGAAATCAGCTTCGATGATATGGACGAGGGCGTGGACTCGAATGAGCGGATCGTGACGGTGGCAATCTACATCAACCTGATCGCCAACATCATCCTGCTGGCAGGGAAAATCGTGGTGATTGTTTTGACGTCGTCGCTCTCGGTGCTCGCATCTCTTGTTGACGCCGCCCTGGATTTTCTGTCCACCGCCATTGTCTGGACTACCACGAAACTCATCTCGCGACAAGATCAGTACGCTTATCCCATTGGTCGGCGTCGATTAGAGCCCGTCGGCGTCCTTGTTTTCAGCGTCATCATGATCACTTCATTCTTCCAGGTGGCCCTGGAGTGTTTCAATCGGTTGCTCTCAGGGGATCACAGAGTCGTGGAGCTGGGCATCCCTGCCATTGTCATTATGCTGAGCACGGTCGCCATCAAGGGTTTCTGCTGGTTTTGGTGTCGATTGGTGAAGAACAGTTCTGTGCAAGCGCTCGCTCAAGATGCAGCCACGGACGTCGTCTTCAACATCTTCTCCATCGTTTTTCCACTTGTGGGCTTTTACTTTCAGGTCTGGTGGCTCGATGCCTTGGGTGGTCTGTTCTTGTCCTTCTACGTCATATTCAACTGGACACGAACGAGTGTCGAGCATGTGCGAAACCTCTGTGGTGTGTCGGCCACGGCCGATCAACGCAATGTCCTGCTCTATCTCGCCATGCGCTTTGCCAAGCCCATCCGATACATCCAGGGGTTGCAAGCATACCACACGGGCGACAAGCTCAATGTGGAGGTCGACATTGTGCTGGATGAGAATATGAGTTTGAGAGACAGCCACGACCTGAGCGAGAGTCTGCAGTACGTGCTGGAGAGCGTGCCGGCGGTTGATCGCGCGTTTGTGCACGCCGACTATGCGGATTGGAACTTGCCCAGCCATATGAATCAGCAAGGGTGAGGGGAGTAATTCAGGGCATGGGTTTAGAGGTGTGATCAGGCTAGGTCAAATGTATGCGTTATGTTTTGTGAAGGGTTTTGTGTATGGATATGGCACAAGAGGACAGGATAAAAATCGCAGGTGGCCCAGCGAGAGGTTTTGTACCCGTTAACCCCGGAAGACTACATTCTGGGCTTACAGTACCATCTATCTATCTATACCCATACATGTAGTTTCTCTTAGTGAGCCAGAGAGATATAGCCTAATATGGTGTGCTGGGAGTGTACCTACCTGGGGTTTTATGTGGACGGTCGGATCGCCATTTGAGGGGGCATGTGTTGATATGATATAGTATATATAAATGTCGTTTGTTGGGGCATCTTGGACATTGAAAGCATCATATCTGAACTTGATATATCCCTGCCCTCCCCTTTATGCCCCCTATCTCTCTCTCTTCGTCAACTCCATACTTCGTACATCACGGACATCACGGTAGGGAATGTTCTCTGCCCCACCACCCACCCGCAGCAGCTCCCCTGACGGGCCCCTATTCCTGCCAAGCCTTGCACGCATCAGGCTGAACGAGGTAATTATCGAGAATCAACCACCCGACCTAGGTATGTATACCACAGTGTCTACATAGGTGTCGAGGACGTACACACGTCTTAGATATCAAGGTATGAAGTACCCTCTCTACCGGTCTCTACCTCTTCCTCCCGCTTCTGGCTCTGGTTCTGGCTCTGGTCTAGCCCAGTATATTATCGCGAATGCCCTTGCCTGTTGCCTGTTTCCCTATCCGCAGAGCAGTCGATGCTCTGTTTCACCTTCTCTTACCTCGGAGCACGGCCAATTAGCCTCCTTTGGGCTGTAGTGCTCAGCGAATCAAATAATACCGTGCGTGATGGTCTCGACGTAGAATGGAACAAACTATAATAAAAGCTGGATTCACGACACTTTTATTATGGGAGAAAAAATACTGCATATTTCTCCACCGAAGCAATCCAGTCCACCCTAATTTGATCAAAATATGCTTTTCGTGCCCTTGGAATGTACAGTTGCAAAGGGCTCATTCACCATCATGTCCGTCCCATTGCATCCACCCACCATTGGGGTTCTGACATAACTTGTCCGTTCTCCACGCTAAAGAAAGCACAATGAAATGCGCCAGCATAGCTACCAAAGCTTTCCATAGCCGCAAACGCGTCAATGAGAACTCTAGTAATGCCGTTGCGATGATGGGATAGACCACTATCGCATTCATGCCTTGCGACAGGCAAGGCTGAAGAGTGCTGAATAGTTTTACACCGAGTACGACGACACGGGTCGAAGGAGAGGTGATGGGCACGTTGAGGAAGTTGTAGACCCGATCGAGAAATAGAGACAGAGGTGGCCGGTCAACCTCTTGTGCAGGTTCAAGAAGGAGCTGTTGCCGGGTCGGCGAGTGGGCGGGAGACTTTTGTAATGGGGACGAAGGAAGAGACGATGAGGCACGTTTGGCCCGCAGGATCATGGTGCTGTTGAGCCTCAGGTTCGTCGACTCGCGTCGCGTCGACGTGGAGGCTTTATGTGCGCGTTGTTCGCGGTCTGCTTCGCTACCGCTCGTGTACCCGTGGTCGCTGAGTATTGCTTCGGATCCATTCGGCTCCTGAGATACAGATCTCGCCGACCGGAAAAAGGATCGCTTCGGTCTGGGACTCATGTCATGGCCGTGTCTGCCTTGTGGCGAGTTTCCCTTCTGCGGTGTATCCAGCTTCTGGATCCGGCGGGCCGGCGTCAGCTCCTCCGGCTCCATCGAGCTCCGCCTCCGCACTACGGGGATGTCGTCGAGTCTACCTGACGAGACGACCTGGAGAACATCGTCTGCGCTGGGCCGCTCATCCGGGCTCAGGGACAGAAGTCGTTTGAGAAACGAGTAAAGCGCACGCGGCAACTCGGGACGCAATTTGCGCTGATCGTCAAATCCTCCCCAGTTGGTAATTTCTGCTCTCAATTCTTCAATGTCTTCGCGCTCTTCATGAAGGACATTTGCCGAGTTGTAGGGGAGATTTGCAAAGCAGAGGAAGTGTAAAATCATGCCTAATGAGAAGATGTCCGACTTGGAAGTAAAGTTCTCAAAAGGCCCACCTGGAGAGATGCGTCGAAGCACTTCGGGCGCACAGTAGGATATCGTCCCAGTAGCACCAGTGGATTTTCGCGTTGCATACTCGTATTGAACTTCGCCAAAGTCGCTGACCAGGACTCTGGTCTCGCCACCGACGGTATGCAGGAGGCAGTTGCTCGGTTTCAGGTCCCGATGGATGAAGCCGTTGTGATGGAGATGTCTCAATCCCGAGGTAATGTCTTTGAAAAAGTTGTAAATTTCGTCAAATGGCAACTTTTTGGGTTCATTCGCCCGCCGCGGAAGCTCGGATTCTCCCCTCGACTTGCGACGAATTCGTTCCTTTAGTTCTTGCGTCGTCGTGGATGCTTGCGCGGAGCCCAGGACGTAGTTTTGCATGTCTCCGCCGTTACAGTATTGCTGTAGAATGAACGCACAAGGCACACTTGGGCCAAAGGTGCTGGTTTGGAAATCTTCCAACCATACGTGGCGGTAAGAGACGAGATTTTGGTGTGACAAAGTCTGCAAAAGCTGGACCTCGACAAGGACCTTCTCTAACCACGCGTGGTCATCTCCAATGGGTACGCGTTTGCACGCAAAATGGCCGAGGGTAACGCCGTCGAGGACGTGTTTGACCAAGAGCACGACCCCTCGCCCGCCTCTCCCGAGCTCTCTTTCTTCGATGAAGAACTTCTCGAAGTAGTTGGGCGAAAAAGCTGTCTCGGAGATTCCATGGGACTGACTGGCAGGGATTGGCGCACTGGCGATGAACTCTGAATTTGGAGGCGGAGACACGGCGGCTGACGAAGGGTGAAGTCGAGAGCGGACTGGTTGGACGATTCGACGTCTCGGAGAGGGCGGTGCAGATGGTTCGTTGGAGCCAGGAAGGCTTCGAGCAAGCATCTCAAAGTAGCCCTCCGTGATAAAGCTGGGTTGATCTTCCATTGTACTTGGACCGGGTTCTTGGGTGCTCGACGATCCTGGTGGTCTGTGCCAGGGTCGGCCACAGGTTGGACAGTCCGAGGAGCGTCGCTCTACATCTTGGTTTCTATGGAATGGGACAAGTTGGTTCGTTCTCGGGTCGCGGTAGACAATGGTGTCTGCGTGGCGACTAGTCTCATCAGTTCAGTATTGCCATTGTTGTATGGGTTTCCAATTCTCCCTGATGTGTGTCACTTACAGCACGATCTCCCGGTTGTTGTCGTAGGGGATGATGGAGAGGGTCGGAATGTGATCTACATTGCCGTCCTCCATCTTTCAAAGTCGGTCAGCAACAATTGAGAGGAGAAGCACTAGCATCTGGAGGAAGCTCTATTGGATCTCGAGAAGCAGGCGCGACTTACGGCGGCGGTCGTTTCTGATTTGTGAGAGGACGGCGGGTGTCGAACAGGCGATCCAGTCAAGGCCGAGGACACGGCATCAAGCCGCAGGGTGACTTTTGAGGTGGCTGAAGGGGAACATGGTCCACAGATTCATGGTCAAGGGCAGCCAGAAGATGCGGTCACAAATGGCGATTCGTGTTTGTTCAGTCGTCCCGTCTCTGGCACATGGTGATAAATAGAGATTCAACATTGAATGAGGGTGGCGGAAATTGGAGGTTGGACGATCACGATGGAATTTCAAAGTCAAATGACGGTGGCAACTCGAGTCCCTCGTGGCCTTGCGCGCCTTGCATTATTTATCACAACCTCCCATCTCCCCCGCCGCAAAAAAGCAATCCAATTCTGCATGGTTGTAGGCCCTTAAGTACAAGTACACTTCATTCCCTTCATCCAACTGCACCCCATATTACGATTACGAGTGCTATAGCTTCCTCAATTCTGTCCTGGCCGCGGGAAGACCGGCACTGTGTCTACATTGTTCACGTCAAATCCCAGTAGCGTACCTTGGTTGCTATGCTGCCACCCCTGACCTGTCTGTTGATTGACAAACGCACTCTGCCGGAAGGGGTTGGTGCTTCCCGTCACGTTGGTTGTCACTGGACCTCCTGATGTTGTTGGTCGGTTCTTCGCGAATGGGTTTGTGCCTGTTCTTTGAGGTTGCAGTGCCGGAGGTGACGAGAGGAAAGATGGGTTGGAGGGGAAAGATTGCTCGGGAGAGACAGGAGAGAAGCCCGCTTCGTCATGGACCATCCCTGCCCCGTGGTCGTTGTTGGAAATCGCTCCAGTGTTGTGCTTAGCAAATGGATTGGTCGACGACCGGACAGGAACAGCAGGACTAACAGGGGAAATTTGCACACCTCCAGTGTGCATCGTGGACTGTCGAAACGGATTGGTGGATGTCGTCTGTGGTTGTAGCGATGCAGGCTGAGCTGGTGGAAAGACTTGAGACTGGAAGTTTGCGACGCCATTCTGAGGAATCGGCGATAGCTGCGAGGAAAATTGGTAAGCGCCTGCTGATTGTACCTGCTGCTGTGGTTGAGGTCCATATCCACCGAACCCCGCCCCTGTGAAATCTGTCTGCAGAGGCTGGGGTTGAGCTTGGGGTGGCGGTAGAGCCTGAGGTTGAAACGTTGGCTGCGGCTGTAGGAAAGGATTGTAGCCCGTCTGTTGAGGCACAGGCGCTTGCTGGTATCCGTGAACTTGTGGCACTCCTTGCTGGAATTGAGGCTGCGCGTTCATGTTGGTCTGACCCATCGTCTGCTGATTCTGCTCGATGGATTCAAAAAAGTCAATCAGATCAGGCGCTGGTCCCTTGGGCACCGATTGAGCCGGCTGTGGTCTGGCTGCAACTGAGGCCGGTGCTGCCTGTTTCGTTGCTGGTTTGTCGAATGGATTGGCTGACGGCGCGGCCGAAACTGGCTTACCCGTCCTTTTCGCTTCTTGCTGCGCCAGATATTGTCTTCGATTCAGTTCAAAGTCCGCATCGTTGAGATACTCTTCCAGGGCACTGGTCAGAGTTGTTGGTGCGTGCTTTAGTCTCGGGACCTCCAAGCGCGTAGACGTCTCATACTGCCTGGCTACACCGAGATACTGCACCACCAGTTCAGTCTGCCTTCCGAATGTCTTGTATATTTGCAATGCCCGTTCCGCGTCAGGACGCGACATTTCGAAGTAGTGTTCTGCGTCTGAGTTAGCTATGACGGTCTCCATCCGATCGCCTTACTCACCTAGAACGTTGATGGTGCCCTCGTTCATCACCTTGAACAGCTCGAGCAAGTCCAAGGTCAGAAGACGGAAGGCCGTCAATGATATCTCATTCTCCGGGTCATGAGTGCCTAGTAACTGCAAGGGTGAGTCGAGTTTGGAGTCAGAGACGGTCATTCCAACTTACGTTGCATCGAATCAAAGCCTCTATTTGATCCTGCACAACCTCAGTCTGTCTCAATAACCCTTTTTCGACGGTCAATCTGCGCATCTTTCCCGCTCCTGACTTGACAAAGTCCGTCTTCGTATCTCGAAAAGCTCGTACTCTTTCCAACAAGTATTCCGAATATCTTCGAATATTGAGACCTTGGGTTTGGACTGTTTCCCTATTAGACTTTGCGCAAAGCTTCCTGGTGACATCTTGCTGTGTTCTGCATACCTTCAGTGAAGCTGCTGATTGCCAATCTCTTAGGTGACTCGGATATGTACCTCAAAGTGACCTCGGGCTGACCTTCTCTTATCATAAGATGAACCACAATTAACGCCTTGAATACAATCGTCCATGTCGAGTCTCTTAGTCGGAGTTGTAGAGTACGGAAGACTTCGGCGACACCTGATTCTCCGCCATTTGTGGCAGATAGTATCGGCTCGATATACTTGGATTTGGGCGCGGCCAACTAGCACCCCGTCAGCTCTGTTCCAGTCGATTTCGCGCGGACTGCGCGACATCCAGACCTTTATTTTTGTGGCGCCTTTTACAATCTTCTCCATGGTCATTTTGTCGACGGTGGTGATTTGGGTTCTTTTGAGAAAGACGAACAAGGCGGCAATTGGTCAAAAACAAGGGCACGTTCCGAGCTGTCCGCTCCAGGCCGGTGAAGTCAAGAGAAGGCAAGGTGAGGTCGGAGGGACAATTATGTTAGGCAGGTCGCCATGCTTTCAGAAGAACATGGTGCACGAAATGGCAGACTAGGATCACACAGCCACAGAACGACCAGGCTTCTTGGGGTCGGACAGCGGTGACTTGTTGCTGTGATAACCGGGCGCAGTCGTACTGGGGAAGGCTGGTCGAGTTGCTCTGCGACAGTAATCACTGAAACGATGCACAGGCAAGAGAATGTTTGGAGGAAGGGTGAGGCAAGAGTAGCAGAAACAGATGACAAGTCCTTGATGTATGTATCATGCCCCTATCACCATGGCGCCATTAATTTGAATCCGTGAGATGGTGTTGCAGGTTGGATATTATTATGGCGTTTACGGCGTTCAAGCCACTCGTTGATGACGGGCCGCATTTACTGGCTTGACTGTTGAGCCTGCCACCTGCGGCATCGGTTCTCGCCCCGAGCTTCCCCTGCCACCTCTTGGCAATTTTGGCATGAGGTACCGAGTACATCCCCGGCATACCTACCGAATCTATTGGCACCTAGAGAAGCCCTTGAGCCTACACAACTCGACAGACATGAATCTCAATATCTCAACAGTTTCACAGGTCGACCATACACCTCCACGGCTCAGTATTTCTTCCCATCAAGTCCTCCTGCTTCAAGGTGTTCGGCGACGATCTTGACGTCTTGACCTCCACGAACGAGAGCCGAATGTTGCAGCTTAAGCTCTTGGAACTTCTTTTCGGTTTCCCAGACGAATGGTGTCTTACTGGCAAACAGGAGATCAATCTGGGTATGCAGGTCAGATGACGGTCTGGCATGGTCGATGCTGTTCACCAAGCCACATACCTCTTCCAATGTCCGGCAACTGGTCTCTGGGTAGAAACAGAATACTATGACGACAGCTAGCAGATTGAAGACGGCATGGATATAGAAACCCTGAGGGCCTAACGCTTTAAACATGACAGGTGCTGCGAGAGAGACCGAGCCACAACCCAGGCTCCAACCTGAGAGAACGTCTGTTAGAATCCATTTGGTGACCGGACGAATTCGACATACCAATGATACCGAATGCATTTCCCTTAGCTCGGATAGCAAGGGGAAAGATCTCTGACGGGTACACCCAGGGCACTGACAGCCACGTTGCCTGCATGGGACTTATGAGTTGGATTCATGAACAGAAAGGTGAACTGAAATTACCGCAAATATGGCGTTGTAAATGAAGACAAATGAGCCAGCGGCGGCGCCGATTGACTGGCTGTGTTTGTCCTCTCCGACCTTGGACAGAGCACCGAGGATGAAGAACGACAGACTTTGTCCAAACCCACCGGCCATAAGGACCTTGCGACGGCCGTAACGATCGATTGTCACAAAAGCAAATGCGCAGCATACCATGGTGACTAGGTTTGCACAGCCAGTCAGGAGGTTTGCCTAAACCAAGTTGTCAGCAGGGTATCTGTAGGGATTGCCAGTGCACCTCACTTTGTGTGCACTGAAGCCAGCAATGCGGAAAAGTGTGGGAGCATATACGACCACACTTGTGACACCAGTCCTATAGAAGATGATCCAGTCAGAACTTGCAAGACAGCTAGCCGCACCGATCCACGTACCACGCCTGCATAATCTGCAGCCACGCGGCCAAAAATGCTCTCCGTCCGAGATGAAGATCGCCACTCTTGATTCCGGTGACTAAGTGGAAATAGCTCCGAGCCGGGTATTCAGCCTCCAGTTCTAGACGCAGCGATGATTGTCAGCAACACTTCTATTTCTATGAGAGGGGTGAACTGACCGACGGCGGCGACAATCTCGTTGAATTCAGCTTCGACCTCTGCTTGGTTAATATCTCCTTGAGCGCGGAAGACTGCCAGGGTCTTTCTGCCACGTTCTTGCTTCCCATTGGCAATGTCCCAGCTGTCGACTCAGATCAGCACTGTTGGGTTTGAAAGAATAGATCTGGCCAACTGACCGTGGACTCTCTGGCATGAAGGGTATGATGAGCATCAAGGCGATCAGAAAACTGCTACATGTCAACGACCATTGTGCAGAGTGACTCAAAATGCTCACATGGTGACGAAAGCAAGAGGAACTGAGGGGATAAGTCAGTCGAGCCACTTGCGGACAAAATTCGTAAGGCTTACATCGCCACCGAACGTCGGTGTTTCCGTGGTTTACAAAGCTCAGCCCATACTCGAGCCAGTCTATGACAATCAGCAGAGCAAATAACAAGAGATGGAGGTTTCTTACACGAAGTCGAGATTCCGGCAAAGTTGATGAACATTTCGAAGGCCATCACCATGCCTCGCACTTCGTGAGCGACAAGTTCCGAGCCCCAGACTGGAATGACTGCGCTGATGCAGCCAGTTCCAACGCCTCCGATCAATCTGGCGCAGAGCATCCAGGGAGCATTCTGAGCGGCGCTCTGCATCGATTGACCAAAGATGCCCCAAAGACAGCCGAAGAATATAGCTTTGCGTCGTCCTACCTTATCGGACAACGCCCCGCCCCTGTTCAACAAAGCTCAAACCCTGGATCAGTCGTGATGGGGGTAAGCGGGCAGAGCTTACATCAGTGCTCCCAGGAGGGTACCGAGATAGTAGATGGAGACAAGACCACCTTGCTTTGTCGGTCTTGTGATATTCCCGGTTGCGCCATCGCCGATTTTGACCAGATCCTGCAAAAATGGTCAGCGGTTTCTTTGTATGAGAGGGTCTCAGAAACATATACAATGTACGAGGGACTTATGTTAACCCCGGACATGACGCCCTGGTCATAACCCTCGAACATGATGCCTAATCCAGCAACAAGGCACACACTGAGGCCATATCAATTAACAAATTTGTCAGAATGCAAAGTGGAAAGAAATTGGACTTACGCCCATACCATATGACGTCCGTACAGAGGCATTTCTCGGGTTTTCTGGGGGTTGCGATTTTACAAAGAGTCAAGTCTCTACTTGCAGGTTGTGTTGACGATGGAGACGTGGGGTACTAGGCCTCACTTATATCCACGTTTGCCATCGCACCGCTTTTCATCAGACTCGCCTAAATGAGGAGAGGGACGGGACAATGTTGGCAAGCCGCAGCCGACGTCGACTCTCCGACTCTCACGCGATGCTGTGTGGCAGACGGGAGTATCAAAACGGCATCCGGCAGCATTGAACGGGGTGAGCCCGGGTTTGGAGGCGATGCGATAGCCTATGCATGCTGGGGTTAGCGCAGATCATCCATGGGCCCTGGCGCTTCGGTGGGCCATGAAGTGGAAGTGTTATGGTGTCAATTAGAACTAGCAGCGTGAGTGGCCAGCTCAACAGCGGATACTTCGTTGTAGATTCATCTTTTAGTGTTGAGGTATCGGGAGAGGTACCGAGTGACTTGAGGTACGTCCACTTGTCCCCATCCCCGGGCGTCTGTCTTCCATTCACGTGGACGATATCTTCTGACCAGGCTCGCCAGTTAGATATGGTAAGGTTCTATCTATGCCCTTACCTACTGATCTACCTACCTTCGTACTTCATACCGAGTATGTATATGAAGTTGAATCACGCTTTCTCCGCATCCCACTTGTTTGGCTGTTGACCCCGTATTGGAGAAGAGCGGCCCGTCGGCCGGCCGGGGATTGACCGAGCACCAAGACTTGGGCGCCGATCTCCCGCACTGCACAACGGCATGTCTGATGTGACTCCCTACCAACCTTCCAACCTACGACTATGTAGGTATGTATTCGGTATGGACAGAATGTGCCTTGGTGCCTTGCTACTAGATTGTAGGAGGCTACTGGTTAGGAGGTAGGTGCTGTACTGAGTCTCTTCAAGCCAGCTGGTTACACCACGCCTCCCTTATTTCTTGAATCTCCAGAATGGATCAGTAGTGTACCTCGTATCCTGGCAAATGACATGCCTTGGACAACCACGAGGTGCAAGAGAAGGCGATAGCGATTGATGGTTGTCGACATGTTGAGTAATGTGAGTAATGCACAGAGAAGGGAGTACGTCCTCAGTAAGTGTGGTGAGTGTGACAACACCTCGTCTCCTCTCTCTCGCCCTCCCCTTCCTTCTATACCACACCCTCTGGCATACCCACCAACCTTGGCGTCATTTCCCCCAGCAGGCAAGGCTCTCCACTATTTGAACCCAGAAAAAGAATCAGATATAATTGGAAGTCCCGAAAAAGTCTTTCACAATCGCAAAGACCCCTACTTTGGAAAGAGACTTTATTAGAGTCAACAACCCCCACAAGAAAGAGAGAAAGAGACTTGCAGAAGTCAACACACTAGCGCTGGGAATATTGGGTTCAAAGTAGGCGATCCTCCGGTCCTCCTCCTCCACGATTCGATCCTCCGGTCGTCGGTTTCGGAAAAAGGGAAAAGTTATCAGGGAACCCTGCCACCGGAAAAAGGCGGGGAGTTCAATAACTCCCGAAAAAGAAACGGAAAAAATCTGCCACAAGGCGGGTTTCACTTACCATCCACCCCCATAGCGGAGGGGTTGGGTGGCAAAGTTTTTGTCTTTGAGGGGGAGAAAGAGAGGGAGGGAGGGAGGAGTAAGGACAGGGGAAAGGAGAAGGACAAAGACAAGGAAAGGGGGTCGAGACAGAGAGAGATCAAGAGAGTTCTTTTTTGCTTCTGGCGAGTCCTCATCTTGTGTGTGTGTGTGTGTGTGTGTGTGTGTGTGTGTGTGTGTGTGGCACTGTTGTGCCCTAATCCATATGAGACATCAGTACACAAGTGAGTGAATGAATGTATCCGGCGCCCTCCTCCAAATCGGAGTGACAACTCTTGCAAGTTCAACCAACCACCCTTGGATATCCGGTGCTCTGTGTTGTGTTCTGGACAGGACAGGACAGGACAGATCAAGTCAGATCGAGTAGCGAGCCAACGTACTAGGTGTTGCATGGATATTTGTACCTGGCTATACCATGCCAGACAGCCTTGCACACATACCTACGCATCTACGCACCTACACAGGAGCCAGCAATCTCCTCGACTGTCGACCCTCGCGTCCAGAGTCCAGAGGCTACAATCCAGGCGTCTAATCACCAAGCCGTCATGAATGTACCTCGTACCTTTTACCTTTTCCTCGCCTTGTCTCCCAGACGGCCAAAACTGAGGGGCCTACAGTAATGAGAGCAGAGCAGAGCAGAGTAGAGTGCAATATGCCGCCACCATGGGACTATAGAACTATGGGCACACAACCTACGAGTACTTGGTGTGTACCTCCCACCCTATCTACCTACCTACCGCCGACCTACCACCGACCTACCCTGTAGTTGTGTCTACTACTTGTAACGCCGCCGTAGACACATGAGGTGCGCAATCCCAACCCGATCGCTTAGTTACTTAGTGCCTCTGTACCTCTGTACCGACCGACACGGCACTTCCCAATTCAGAGATTCCGGATCTGCACTTCGCAGCCTCCTTCCGGATTGCCCTTTTGAGCGGTTCCGTCTCGCTCCCCCGGGACAGATAATTACCCATTGTACTTGGGGTCCTTGTTGGGGTCCTTGAGCACACATCCGCATCATGACTTCGGCAAAGCTTTCGTGGGTGAGGTCAGCCAGTCAGTCGGGTAGCTGGGTATCTGAGTTTGCGAGTACAAAGAAGTAGAGAGGGAAAATGGACTCGGATGTTTTGAGAAGGAATGTATGTCTCTTTTTGCATTGTCCACTACTGGAAGACCGGGTGTGGGTACTCAACTTCCAGCACATTTTAACAATCTTTCCTGCTGGGCTCAAGTCAGGCCAGCTCAAGTCGACCGGAGTGACTTGTTAGCTACACACCCAACTACCCAGGTGCTGCTGACAGACAGCCCTTCTGTCCTTCTCCCTCGCAAAACACCGCCAAAGCACTACAACGCGTACATGTACTTTGGATGATAGTCGCACAGCTCTTCAATGTCCTTGGACGCCAGCGGATCCTCGATCCCTCGCGCCTCGTATTCCTCGGCCCGTCGTGTCTTGGCCGCGTTGGCTCGCTTGCAGATCTGGTAGAGAATCAATACGCACACGACTGCGACGCCGTACAGGCCAAGCGACACGCCATGTCCCAGGATAAAGCGCGGGGGGTCACGGTACGTCTGCGTCGAGATGATGCTGTAGCTCTGCACGAAGATCTGGCTCATCCAGACACTCGTCGCGCGTTTGGTGTAGCCACCGTGGCAGGGCAGATACCACGCCACACCAATGGCCAGACCGGGGTACGCTCCCGTCGTCACGAAGCAAGCCCCGGCAACCAGGGCCACCTTGTTCGTCGTCGACAGCAAGATGATGAAGCCTGTGATGGTGGTTGAAAGGCACGCCAGGAGCACCATGGCCTTGCGCCCCAGTCGGTCGGCCAACCAAGAGCAGCTGAGGAGTCCAACCAGTCCAAATGCGTATGGAATCATCGAATACAGCTGCGTCTCCAAGGGTCCAAATCCGAATTCATTGATAAAGGTTGGAAGAAAGACGCCAAAGGCACCGATGCCGACGCCCTGGCATCCAATCATGGCAGCCCCGAGATAGATCTTGGGGTCTTTGAGCGCGATGATGACTTGTCGTGAGCGAAACTTGGCGCCCGCACTGTTCTGAGCTGATATATAACATTAGCTGGTGGTCAGGGGACGCCATTCTCTGTGCCAACTTACAAGATTTCAACCTTGCCAGGATCAGCTGGCGCTGTCTGTGGTCACGGAACCCGGGAAAATGACCCTTGTTGGAGACGGTTTCAGGTAGGCCAGGGAGTAAAGACATGATCACGAACCCCATGCCCACTGTGATCACTCCCTCGATGATGAATAGCCATTGCCACGCCCTGATGCCCGAAGAGCCCTCCAAGTTCTTGCCTACACCGTAGGAAATGACACCACTGAATGCTCCAGCAACTGGCGTGAGTGAATAGATCAATGCTGCCACGTGTCAGCATTTGCCACAGGGCGGCCTTTTCGTGGTCTCAACTGTGCTCACCTGTCCGCAATGCAAGTTCAGAGTGCTTGTACCAGAGTGAAATAAAAATATAGGCGTTGTTGACAAACGCTTCCGCAAGACCAATGACCACGCGCAGACCCATCAAGGTGGCGTAGTGCTTGGCTTCAGCGGCAGAGGCAGCAGACACTCCAAAGATAATGACGGCGATGCCAAACACCCATCGCGGATGGAAATAACGCAGAGCCAGGCCTGCTGGCAGTTCAACGACCATATACCCCAGGACTGGAGAAACATGGCCCAAATTAGCAAGCAACCTCGACCCATCGCGCCACCAGCTAATGTTCGTGGAGAGAGCATACTCACAGAACATCATGACAATATTGTAGTATTGTTGGGCGGTGAGCTCGAGGTCCTTTTGCATCCCGAGGATTCGCGCATTGCCAATGTTTCCGCGATCCTCCATAAAAGTATCACAATCAGACTTCCTTTCTGCAAGACCGGATCGATGCTTACCAGGTACCCAAAGAAGAGGGCCAGGGCGAGAAGCGGCAAAATGATCAAATCTTGTTTCAGCACAAGCTTGCGTTCCTCTTTCTTCGTAAAGGACTCTATGTGGAGCTGCTCATCCTGGGCCGTCTTGTCGACTCCAATCTCGGCGCTCATCTCTTCATTATGAAAGATCTCCACGTGGGGGACGGGATTCTTTTCCGTCTGTGTGGTCGACATGTTGGGTTATAGAGAGGCTCCCGGCAAGAGGTAGCTCAGAGAGATTCGGATGTTGGAATTTGCTCAACAATATGGCAATGAGTAGTCCATTTATTATCCAAGGCCCAAGGCTCACGACAGTTGCGATCATGGAATCCCCCACAGAACGACCCCCAGAGT